AGTAACCTAAACACTAGCTGTTCCTAGGAGGATCTCCTTTACCGGCTACCTGAGAGTTACAACACAACCTTTACCCAGCAGAAACTCCATCGCAAATGTGACACACCTTTAACGATCTTTCTAACACATCTGGCATTTGCATTTCCGGAATGTTACTTATACTTTGTTGAGAGATTCTTCTCCAAAATGCGACCCCTCTCCAGTCGACGCTCAACCTCATTTCCAGTAGCTTTTGCGAATTTTACCGCCTCATAATTGTAGGCTGGTTAGTATCCTTACCGAAGTCAAATCAAACTGTCTAACCAAAATTCAGACGCAAACGGCAGATACGCACAGGTACACACAAGCAAACAAAATACACTGTGCATCGACTCGTATGTCCCACTAGCTGTTTCGCCCGGCACCTTAGCTGCAGGCGAGGCACCATCAGGTATTTGCTATTTAACATGGTGACCGTTTGTGTTTTAACCACCTCAGTGGCATAATTAGTGAGAATCGCTTATTGATTAAGCTTGTAGTAATGCGCCTGATTGATCTTACTCATGAGCGGGGGGTCCAATAACCTTTCACAATGGTATATAACACGGTGTAAAGTACGCCCACCGAATTTTCGCCCCATTAAACAAACACTGTGGGCGTAGCTGATGGTGATGTGGATCGAAAACGCACACCACTCAGGGAAGAGAGAACATTGACCAACACATGCGTTATTTGATTCGTTTACGCTGAGGTTCCTTTCGGATTATATCGCGAAGTTGTTTCTTAACGGGACTGTGCCCCGAAGTTTCATGAACAACTGATGGCACCGAAATGAACCACAATACCGGCTAATATTGGTCGTCTCAAACAAACTACACAACAAATTTTCGGGTAATTGATTACGACAAGAATGGGACAGTCTATATTTTGCCGTTTCACGGGAGCATTGACTCGAACCTGAAGAAATTCTCGTAGGATTACATAGTTTTTGGCATTTGTTCGGATATACCAGTCTCGATGCATCGTAGAAATTCACCACAAGCTCACGCAAAGTCATGTTAAAATTGCAGTCAACAATGGCCAGCTAATTATCATAATTTGTTTTAACCAGACAAAGTAGTTCCTCGGTCTTCGTGATATTCCTCAACTATCCAACCGGCTTCTGTTGTTCTGTTGTGTACCTTTCCACTATAACATTACTTATTTCGTCAAATGTAGAGATGTTTTTGTTTGAATACGCAAAAACTAACAAAAACGCGTTTTCGTACAAGTACACACAATGATAAACGTGGTCACGTGTCTCGACCTTCTCTTCTGGTTTAGCTCGCACTTACAGCGATTATTCGCGAGTTTCACGTACTAACTCTGGTATCAAAACATTCCAGACTATCTTCTGATTCTATTCTATGCGAGAACTGTTCAATAGAAGACCCCTGGACAACCATAACTGGGTTAGTATTTATTCGCTGACCTGGGCCAACGACAAACTATTTTAAAGAGAACAATGCTTAGTGAATCTGTTTCATTTGACTCTCTTTATTATTATGTACTCAATCTAGCGTTATTATTTTTAGTTCTTTGCCACACACTTGGTAAAGTAGCTTTTAGGGTAAACAAACAACAAACTGTCAGCGTGCTCAGTCTTATCTGAACCCATAAATCTCGCTGAAACATTCAACCTGTACTCTGAGTGCTAACGTCTTCGTCGCCTGCCACTTTGAGCCCAGGTATCAACTAGAATACTTCTCAACCTAAGAATGGGTTGATTTGTCCAGTGGTTATGCCTTTTTCATATGCGATTTACCCCACTAATTTGTCACATTCTGTTCAGAGATGAAAACAATGCGTTGGTTCAAAGGCGCTGGTAAATTTATATGGGGGTTCTAGCGTTCACATGTTTCCGGGTCCCGTTGTGTTGTTAATTTTCCTGGTGAACTCGGTTTGAACTCACGAAAGAGAATAGCTCGCGCTTAGGAGGAGAAATGAGAAGTATTCAGAGAGCAAAGCTGAAGGTTGTTTGATAGTGATGGCAAGAACTCTTTCATTTGAAGGAAATTGAATTCAATCCGTCGTCTGAAAGAAAAGAACAAGGAAAGCATCATATCCAAATGGTAAAATACCATGGAAACTGATCAAAGGTAATGATTGGGTGGGTGTGGGTGATAAACTGTGGGACTAGTTTGTCAATGCGTGAGTGAAGAACTTTGGAAGACTTGATTGGAGAAATTGCATTATTGCTTGCCATGAACTTGTGCATCGAAGACTGCCGGGAAAAGGTGGGAACCATGCGGATCTAAATATTCAAAGAAGAAATTATTTCCAGTTTAAGTTGTGTGAAGGCTGCGTACCATATGGCATGTTGAAGTTTGAGTGTTTCCCTCCAAGCCTGTTGTGGGAAGAGGAAATTAGGCAGTTGGGACTGAACTCACCAAAAGTTGTGTTACAGTGTTGACGGGATGTAGAATGTTTGGGTTAGAAAATCCTAGGTGTTCTTCATCAATCGATGTAGCAAGACACAGCGGCATTGATTACAAGGTCAAAATAAATGCCTGGTTGAGGCCAGGACTGTTCTCTGAGTAGGCTCATCGCCTTAGTGACGACTTCAGGGTGAAGGAAAGAGGATTTCACCAGTTGTGAAAAAACAAATGCCATGTCATTAGTCGGAACTAATTAACTTCGGGTCACTCCTCTTGCGTCTAATACCACTAATACTGCAGCCACGGAATGCCAATAACACTTTCAAGAACGAAGGTCCACTACAACCACAGCGCCTCCTATTCGAGATGGAAAATTACGTGACTGTTGATACCCGTAAAACTCGTGACTACACTGAGTTCAGTAGACGTTGGTTTGTTCGCTGAGCAATATGATGCAATCAGATTGCCAATATCCCTTCTACCTTCTAATTTCGACTAACGCCGACCCGACCCTTTACATTAAGAGTAAACTTGCGACAAAAACAGCCACACCACAGGAAACCTGTGACAGAGCGCTGCTATCAGTGTCCTTGAAATATAATCACCTCACAGTCACTGTAAATGTCAAGTGGCTTCGTTGGCGAATTATCTCCACAATTTTTTGTTACTGCCACGTGCTGCCGAGCCAGTAATTTAAACGAAAATCGCCCGGGAACAGTTGTTCGTCAGGTTCGGCCAGCCTTCGAAAACCGGATATCGGTCTAAGTTTGGCATAGACCAGCTTCCGCTATCAGTACGCCAAAATGAGACCGACACACGCTGTCCTGTGGGCAGGTTGACATGCAACCGTACAGCCGAACGACGCATGCACTCGGATCGAAAGCCAACGCGTGGATTGCATGTGTTGCCGGTTGAGCACGACGGACAGAGAAAAGTCGGTGAACCAATGGGTAACCAGATTTTCAGTGCGTCGAATGAGAGTTACGCCCGCTCACACTCAAATGATTGGTTCAGCCTTATAAATGACCAAATATGGCAACAACGAAGGCCTAACGTTTACCTCTACACGATTGGTTGTTTGTCGTCAACCCATGTGTCCTATAAAAATCAACGCTTGAACCGCCTTGCTCGGTCATATCCAAGTCGTAGTTTGTGCTCTCGAGGATGGGTGATGAGGACGTTGCAGCCCTGGTGATTGACAATGGGTCGGGTATGTGCAAGGCCGGATTCGCCGGAGACGATGCCCCTCGTGCTGTGTTCCCGTCGATTGTCGGACGGCCGAGACATCAAGGTGTGATGGTTGGGATGGGACAGAAAGACAGCTATGTGGGTGATGAGGCCCAATCGAAACGCGGTATTCTGACGCTGAAGTACCCTATTGAGCACGGGATTGTGACGAACTGGGACGACATGGAGAAGATCTGGCATCACACTTTCTACAACGAGTTGCGTGTGGCCCCCGAGGAACACCCGGTTCTGTTGACCGAGGCCCCTTTGAATCCGAAGGCGAACCGTGAGAAGATGACGCAGATAATGTTTGAGACTTTCAATGCTCCGGCAATGTACGTGGCCATTCAGGCAGTGTTGTCTCTGTACGCGTCGGGTCGTACTACGGGTATTGTGCTTGATTCTGGTGATGGTGTGACCCATACGGTGCCGATCTACGAGGGCTATGCGTTGCCGCATGCGATACTTCGTTTGGACCTTGCTGGTCGTGATTTGACGGACTACCTGATGAAGATCCTGACGGAACGTGGGTACAGCTTCACGACGACTGCCGAGCGTGAGATTGTGCGTGATATCAAGGAGAAACTGTGCTATGTTGCTCTTGACTTTGAGCAGGAGATGGGTACTGCGTCGGCGAGTTCGTCGTTGGAGAAGAGCTACGAGCTTCCGGACGGGCAGGTGATTACGATAGGTAACGAGCGTTTCAGGTGTCCGGAGGCGTTGTTCCAACCGAGTTTCCTTGGGATGGAGTCTGCGGGTATTCACGAGACTACGTACAACTCGATCATGAAGTGTGATGTGGATATCCGTAAGGATTTGTATGCGAACACGGTTTTGTCTGGTGGTTCTACGATGTATCCGGGTATTGCGGATCGTATGCAGAAGGAGATTACTGCGTTGGCGCCGAGCACGATGAAGATCAAGATAGTTGCGCCACCGGAGCGGAAGTATTCGGTGTGGATAGGTGGTTCAATTCTAGCCTCTCTGTCAACATTCCAACAGATGTGGATCTCGAAGCAAGAGTACGACGAATCCGGTCCTGGTATTGTCCACCGCAAGTGCTTCTAATCATATGTTCGCTTTGTAAATAACATCTGTTTCATGCTTGTCTTTTTACTCGTTCATATGATCAGGGTGTTGGTATTTCCCACCACAGGGTCCGAGTTTCGTTTTCCAGCTTTTAGCTTGGTATTGAGAGTTGCTAAAACATGCTGTTTGATGTTCCGGCGTTAGAGGATATTTCGTCCGCGAAAGGGAGGATAGTGGCTGTATTAGGTTTGACAGCCATGATCATTGGTAGCTTAGTAGGGTACGCGACCACAGGGGTATTTTGTTTGCTGCTGTTCTCGATCCGGGCTGCTGGTGTTTGGCTATCTTATTGTATTGAGGCCTGCGTGCAACTCGACGCTGGTGGTCGATAAGGCGGGATACCCAATTTCGGCTCTCGTGGTCCGACTACTGGTGGTTTTTGGTTTAAGATGTTTTGCCCCAAAATCTGGTTCTGAGGTATGGACTCTTCAAAGTGGCTTCCACATGTCGATAACCTGGTTGTCCTGCCGTTCGCAGAACCCCGGGTTGAACACTTAGCATGCAGATCTAGGAGTAACGTCAGCTTAAAGCGCGCAGGTTTTGGGTTTCCCAGTGTGGAAACGGCAGCGGCAAAGGTTTTCCGGTCTCATGTTCCTTTGTGGCGTGTCCCTGTGTCCGGTTCACCCGCCTTACTATCCGCGTGTCGTGGGGCTGGTGGTTTTTCCATGAGTGGCCCTCGGCTTTTCAGATGTCTCCTGATCGGTGGCTACCGCTGGTTAGTGCACAGCCCCGGGAAAGGCCACGTGGCAATTCTGTTTTCCATGGAGGCGGCGTCGCCTTATGTTACTGACATGCTGTCGTTTGCTCTAACTCCACGACTATCATCCTAGTTAGGGTTGTGGTTAATCTTAATGCGATGCTTCTCCGTTTGCTCTAACTCCACGACTATCATCCTAGTTAGGGTTGTGGTTAATCTTAATGCGATGCTTCTCCGCTGAAGGCTTAGCCCGGGGGGGGGGGGCAAGTCGCTGGAATTGTTCTACACAGTCAAGTGAAATGTCGCCAAGAGTTTTGTGTCTAGCGTTGATGGGGTTATGAGGTGCACCTAAACGAAGCGTCCGGAGGGGATCACGCCTCGTCCGTCTTTGGGTTTCACGTGAAAAGTATCCCATCAGTCCAGTTCTTGAAGGTATTTGACTGAATTTTCAGGTGCTACATAAAAAGCAGCTTTCGTGATGTAATACCGCCTGACTAGAAAGGTGCTGAACGGGTGTGATAAGAAATTTCGATCCGAAGGTGGATACAAACAGCTCGGACAACGTGAGGCTTGGAATGATTTCGCAAGTATGTCGGTTGGGAAAACGGTCCTAATGAATGACCGAAACAAAAACAGACAGAAGTTGAGATACGCTCAGGTAGACTGAAACACTACAAAAACAGATTGGGGATTTTCTGCTCACTTGTCGAGCAGACATCTGTGGCAGTGAACTTTTTTCCGTGGTTGTACCCTCTCCTGGGATCAACCCCATGGACCACAGGGTGCAAATTTACTGGTTTTCCGCTCCAGCAGGAATGCGCTGTGCAATCGACCAAGACTTATAAGTTGCTATCGATTCGGACAGCTGATTACCAGCACAGTGCTAANAACTTGCTGGTTTTCCGCTCCAGCAAGAATGCGCTGTGCAATCGACCAAGACTTATAAGTTGCTATCGATTCGGACAGCTGATTACCAGCACAGTGCTAAATAGCCCCGCACTAGTAAGAAGAGCGCGAGTTTATAAGCCATTGGGTCAACGTGTTGTGCACAAGAGTACAAGGGATGACTAATCAGAGGCAAAGCGAATCATAACCAACTGACGAGTCGGCAACCATGGTTGGTTAGCTAACTGCGTCATATGTCTGACATGTTAGCATCCATGACCGCGTGTGTGTACAATCACAAGTGCAGCTAACAATTCTCTATTTGGTGTCCTCTGTTGAATTGAAACTCCATTTGTATGACTTGGAGGGATCAACGTTGAGGTGGTTTGTTGGAGACTGGGCTCGCCATGAACGTCACGTTTTGTTTCATCTTACATTTGTTCGTGTCTGCGAACATTCGATCATTTTCTCTCTCTCGTCAATGGAAAGTTGCCTTGGCGCTGAGATACGGTTTCGGGTACTCAGTGCATCCGAGATTGACTGTTTTCTATCCAACACAGTTGGTACACTAACGAGTCATATGAGTGGATTGTGTTCAACTTGACTGGACTTTACTGGTAGGTTAGCTTTGAGCGATCACACGGCACCGTCCTCTTGAACAGCTGAAAGTTGAAGTACCGATTAGATGAAGCAGCGGACGAAACGCCAATAGACTACACTGTCATGTCTGATATTTGGAGTTGATAACCATTACACAGGTTCGTCGTGTTGCGCTAGCATGCGTGGATAATCGGATAATCAACCAAACGGAGTGGAAATTCCCTCTTAACCCCATGAAAACTGTTGCAAATCACTCGAGTACGGGTGAAATTACGTCACTTTAGTGCGGCAAGTCTGTGTTGCGGCCCTCTCCCACGATAAGATTCCCCGCCTAGGATACAGTTTAAGACATCTAGTTGTCTTTTCTGAGGAGTACTGTTCATTGTGCATGAAATTTGAAGCGCCTTAACACCAGAATAAAGTTGATGTTACGACGCCCATTATGGTCAGCAGCTTTCTGTTTTGAGCACCATTCGAATCAGCATCTGGAGCTGTCTATGATGAGCAGGAATAGTGGAGGTAAGTAACACCATATCGAATAAGCTGAACCGTAAACAGAGAAGTACGAGAACTTTTCTGCCTTTTTGGGACATGTCAGGCGGAATTTTCTAAACTTTTGTCACCGATTTGTAAGTTGGACCTTGGGATAACCGCAAAAGCACCTTCACAGCTCTTCGCTCTTGCTTCACTGGATCATAGGCAGACATCAGTTTGTAGCTACACCTATTCATGGTGGAATATTTTAGATGAACCTTACATCAAAGAAAACCCACATCGTTGAAAAACCCTTGATAGTATCTTGCATATAGCATAAGGTGATTACGAATGGCCATTTGCAATGCCCACAACAAGTAACAGTTCTATTGTGACAAGGTTTGGTTTTGCCACGGAGACCTTACATTCTGCCACATCCCGGTTCTACTGCTAAGGTACCTGTAGCTCATACTCACTGCACCGTGGGACTCAGACGGATTTTCCAGCCATGCTCTACCAACTGAATGCTGAAGCTGAATTAGGATTGATGATTAACACTCATTTGCATGCTGGTGTTAAGAGAAGACTCGGCTGAATCTCTCGTTCGTGATATTCTGCAACTGAATGTGATGCACAATCGCCACTGCATGTTTACGGATGAGCTCATTTCGCCAATGACGTACAATTTGGGAGTTGAGGGAATTTTGGGGACTGTGCCTAGGTCAAGAAGGGCGAAACCGGCTGTGGGCTATCGAAGAGCTTTTATCAAACTTATGAGTAGCCTGTTCCGTTAGGCAACAGCAACCTGAGTTGTGCTAGGAAGAAGGAAATCACCGGTGTACTTGACTTTTACCCCGTCCGATTACGACGGATTATACTACCTAACGCACACTGGTTAACAAACAAACATCACCCACCCGAAAACCGAATCAATATCATTTTAAAAATGCAACGAAAATACAAATTTAATTGGTACGTGTATGCACTGTTCACAGAGGAAATTTCCGTTGATCTTGAAACCAGGTGAAATGAAGGTGACTGGAAGAACCTCTTGGCAGACGGAGTAATCGATCGACACCAGCAGGACAGCCATTGGGTCAAGGTTCGAGTCAGATTTACCTGTTCGAACGTGATAATTCAGCTGCGTCCAGCGTATGCCGGCGTAACGGTAACACGCTCAACTTGCATGCCAACTGTCCCACTACGACCAAAGTTATGCACTGCTGATTAGCTCTAATAAGAGCACAAATTGACTCCGATCCTTGCCCCCTTTGGTGTGCGCTTTCCGGAATGATTGCACCAGAACAGCAGCAGGATTGTTAAAACGAGAGCGAGGTGAACAGAAATGTGTAGACGTTGTACATCCATTCCCATAAAGAAATTTATTCGATTTACTCGATAAAGCCTCATGATTTCATACTGTTATACACTTTACTACAGACGCGTCACAAACTGGTTGTGCGTTGTTCCGACCGCTCACACGTTAAAACAGTTGGTGGCCTGTTATGCATGCGGGGTTCGAATCCAAGTTTGCAATCTAGGTGTTTGCTTTTTTACTGCAGACTTTGTCAAGTGCACCTTTTTTTACTGTCTGTAATAATTCCAAGTGTTCAGCCATTAAAATAAGATTAAAAGCATCGAGATTCTATCGTGTTTGAGACTGCCATTGTTGGAAACTGATATACCTTCGTTCGATAAAAACGGATTTGGATAGTGCGCAAAATAACATCAGCTGGTGGTTGTGTTTCAGCATCATCTGAGCGAGCCCCCCCGCTCAGAACCATGGGAGCATTAGCTGATTCGACATTTCAGGTCGTCTGTTTGTTTTCACTGCCAACCTGTTTGTTTCGTATTTTATTGGAGTCTGTTTCACTGAATTTTATGTGCATTGAATGTAACTTGACATCATAGTAATTCCTCCATTCATTTTCTTGCTAGTGTATTGCCCGTGTACTTATTGATCTGGACCTGTTTAGATGATTGCAGATATGACGGCGCAGACCGCATCTGGCACGAACTCTTGAAGGGATGGGTTCATCGTCCCAGTTCAGTGTAACAGGCAGACAATCCCACCAGCTTGACTAATAGTTTAAACATATAGGAGGGACATATTGTTTGGAATCAGGGTAAGTCACAACATGGTGGGGGAGAACACAACCCTATCTTCCACTGGCGGAACGACGGATTGATGGATATATGTACAAATTTGATTGCATCCCATCAGGGATGCTGGACGGTGTCACTGATAAAGATGCTGAGATCTTTTGATTGTTTTCTATTTATGGGTTTTGTGTCGCTCAGTCTATCAAACCCATGGCTCAATGAGTACGTATGATCGTGGACCGTCGCTGTAATGCACTGTAGATCTACATACAAGCCAAAGTCCAAATAAAGAAACTCGATAATGGAGAAGAACCCACTTCCAAATTCAGGTTGTAGTGCCTGTTAGTGGAATATAAAGAAAAGACTAAAAATACCCAAGAACACAGCATTACTAGCCAACATGTCCGTGGCTTACTGCACAAGGAGTGCTATTTTCTCGTTTTTTTTTCATAGAACCCGGCACTAGGAAGACGTAGTGCCTGTTAGTGGAATATAAAGAAAAAACTAAAAATATCCAAGAACACAGCATTACTAACCAACATGCCCGTGGCTTACTGCACAAGTGGTGCTATTTTCTCGTTTTTTTCGTAGAACCAGGCAATAAGAAGATCAACAGATACCTTTGTTTTACTTTGGGTTTGTAAGTGACAGTTGTGACGTAGGTTAAGCAGTCAATAAACTGCGTTTTTTGTCCGTGATTAGTTGCAGTAAGAACCGATACGTGCACACTCAACAGAACTACAGTTTTGATTGAACTTTTTGAAAAACATATTTGTCATCTGACCACCTGAACTATCTCCCAACTCCGATAGTTCGGATAGAAGGCAGTCATTTCGGCAACCTACCATCATCAGCCAAAACAGTTGGAATAAATTGCGTATCAGTCCTTTGTACGTATCAGATTAACTATCAGCCGTCACTGTCAGGATAGCGCAGCGCATGTAACCTTTCCGAGAGCGGACCTACACTCTAGTTAGGCATGTGAGTCAAAATGATGCGTCCAGACATCGCAATGGACGACATCCCACCCCTTGGCCAGATTTTTCTCGCAATCAGTCATCACACATGCGGACACAACAGGACGAGACCAGTTGTGAGTTATGGGCAAATTTCGGTTATTTTGACTGTGCTACTAATAAGGCGAAACTTCTACTCTGCACTTTTTGTAAACATACCATCTAGGACCCGTCCTAAGCGCTTGTGCCTGTCTGAGGTAAAACGGGCCAGTGATAATTGAGCTATTTCGTTTTTCTTAGTAAAATGCCCTATTTGTATCACTTCATTAGAGGTGACATTACCTCAAGATTCTGCTCACAGTGTAGCCCTCATATAACGGTTCGGGCACATGGTCGATGAGTCTGATAGGTGAATTCGTAGTCAACGTGGACCAAAAGGCCCACGAGAGTGTCTGCTTGTGGGCCTGAAAATGGTATTATCAAACCGAAAATAAGGTAAAACCTTCCCCTTCTGAGAAGTAACATACTGGTAGTGAGAAAATTTCTGGATTTGTTGCAAGTGGAAATTTCGTCCTATAAGAAAGGACCGTTTCTGCGTCAGAGCAGACACTCGAAAATAGGTAGATTTGAAGCGAATTTGCAAGCGAAAATCAACAGGCAACAAATCTTGACATCAGTTACCAAAGGACAAGCAGACTGAGGAAACGAGCTGCAAGGAAACGAAGCGGCGGTATATTAAACGGGTGTAAACCACACTACTCACACTCAGTAGTCAGCACAGATCACCATTGGTCCACAGAAA